TGAGGGTTGACAGCGTACCATGACACTTTGGGGGGTTTCGTGGGCTGCTGATGCCTCCTTGGTGTTTGTTCCTCCTTCCTGCCACTGTGCGAGTGGCGCTTTCCGAAGTAGCGCCATCCAAAAGAATGTTGATGATCCGACCCCGAATACTACAGCTCAAGGGCTTCTAAACAGCCCACGTGGTGCCTCCAGCAATATCCAACGCCACCTGTGCGAAGAGCTCTGAAACGCCGAGGCTTAGCCGCAAGGCCTCAGAAGCAAATCTTAGGCGGGAAGCAGAAATGACAGGAAAGTCAGCCGGCGTGAGAGATTTCAGGTTTCATCAGGAAGCTACAGGGGCTACAGGTCAAAGCGACAACTGGGGGCTGCATTTAGCCTCCCTAAACCCTAAACCCCAAACCCTATAAACCCTTTGGTTTGTCCCTTTTTTCTCTGGTTTTTGGGGTTCGAGGGTCTCGGCAGGTAATGTGTGGCTGGGTTTGCAAGTGCTCTCAGGTTCAGCGCTTCGGGTCTAAGGGCCCAGGTACTGAGGGCTACCTGGATCAGCAAAGGATTCAATGGGGCTTCGCGTTAAGGGTCTCGGCAACAGGCTTAGTTTTGTATACCCCGGAATCACCACCTGGAGCCCAGCCCCTGCGCCCCAAGCCCTTGAAGAACCCTCAAGAAGACTAAAAGAACCGTCTGTGAGACCTGTGAAAAGTCACGATAGGAAGCGCTGAAGGCACTAGAAGCCTATGAACCACCGAGTCGACAAACAAGCAACGCGAAGAGCCCACCCTGAAACTCGAACCCCAAAACCCGGTTGCCTACTACATGGGCAGGAGCTAAGTTTCGACCTTCGAGGGAAGACTTCAAAAGCGAGCAAGTTGCAGAGTCGACAACATGAGCATGTTGCGTGGCCCTGCGTGGCGAAGAAATTCATCCACCCGAACAAAATTCTGTGACTCTGTACAGGTGGAGTCCTGGTGTCGTCGCGTGCTAGGGTCTATGGGAGAACAAGGGCTTGCTCTTGCTACGGTTTTGTGTGCTCACGACTGTGGGTGTCCTACCCGAATATTCCTTTGCACCCGTAAACTATTCAACCACAAAACCCTAAACACAAACATTGCACATACCTCCTTAGACCACATGAGCCCCAGAGCCTCCTGGCTAACGCAAACCCCACCAACCGCAGCAGGGCAGCTGCAACCTGGCTCGAGCGCTGCTCGCCGCTTCGCGCTGCGCGGCGGCTGCTCCTGGCGGCAGGTGCCCGATTCCGAAGACCTGAAGCCCCCTGACGCGCGTGAAGCTGCAGCCTCGAGGGCTCTGGATGGTGTTCAGGAATCTTCAGGGTTGAGGGCATTCAGGTTCTGGCTTTGAGGTCTCTGCTACCACGGTTAGGGGTAAACATCTGCAAAGCCTTGCAGCAAGGGCCGCCGAGGGTTTGTTGCAAGCCATGTCTGAATGTTGGGCCTCTGCGTTCTCATCTAACCGGGATGCAAATGCCCCCCCGCTCCCCCCCACATCGCGCCTTCTGTCGTTCTGAAGCCTCCTCGGTCTGAAGGGGACCCAAAACCTCCCAAAGCCCTGAAACCTGAATTCTGCAAGAAGGGACTTTAAAGCTTCTTCGGGTGGGCCTCGTAGATGGAGGCTATTTGCTTTGGGGTACATCGGCGTTGGCTTTTCAAGGTTCGAAACAGCTCTGGATGTTCTGCCCCTCCGGGTTCTCCCTGGATCAGCCCTCGCTTCCGCCCCAGCCCGAGGCCGCCACGAACCCCGGTTGCGCCGGGCACCCTCGCTCCCTGAAAAGAAAGATAAGGGTTTAGGGTTTAGGGTTTAGGGTTTAGGGTTTAGGGCTAGGCAATGCCGCGCAAGGGTCCCAGGAAATGGGAGCTCCAGGTTTAGCGGGTTTGGGGACGAGCAACACCAGAGTGACCAACTCTGGTTTCCCAGATCACTGGTAACATCGTTTCAACACACTGTCCTAATGAGAATGCGTCCCCCTGCTGTGGCATTCTCCAGATGTCTCCAAACACACAGGGGAATACAGCCCCAGCGCAGCAAGGTTGTCCACTTGTGTTGCGGTTAAGGCTTTGGGTTTTCTGCGACCACTCGACAGCCGTGCGCAACCCAAGACATGTTGGCCTCGGCTACCGCGGGAGGACCTCGGCTGAAGCGACATGTTTTGACCAGGAAGCTGTGTCCAGCTCAACCCTCCACACTCCCCTTGCTCCTAAACCATCCTAAACTCCTAAACCATCCTAAATCAGCCTAAACCATCCTAAACCAACCTAAACCATCCCACCATCCGACTCCCCGACACCTCCCAAACCCCGAACCAAACGTGCATGCTCTAGTCCAAGAAGCACTGACGCGGTTGACATGTTCGCTTCCTCACGGCGGAGGCTGCCATCCGAAAACTTTTCTACATGCGCCCAGTCAGTCTGCAAAACTCACCTCAGCCAACTGAAGCTTCGAACCCCGAAACACTTGAGACTTGAAAACGTCCCCGCGCCTCGTCGGCAAGATCACTGATCTTGGTGGAACCCTGCGCATGTCAAGTTATGTCAAGCTGGGGGATTTTGTGGTAGATCGTCTGGGGTCTTAAAGGGCACGGTAGGAATTCGAGTGCACATCCTCCACAGCAGGGAAGTGCAGAATCAAAAGCTTGGACGTGCAGCTTGCAGGCCCGCCCGAAAACTGTCCCACACGGGGGTTTACGATAACAAGGGTACCCTCCTAGGGGGCTAAAAGGGGTACCCCTATTTGTCGTAAAGCCCCATATCTTCAAGCAGTGTGGGAGTGGCATGAGATGGTCAGGTTCAGGACTCTTTGCCACCCACATCACCGCAGGAGCAACCGAAAATTCACGCACCGGGAGAGGCGTTCCTCGCCATGCATCCCCTCGCGGACAGCTCCCCCGCCAGCTCACCCGTTGAGGGGCGCTGTGCACTGGCAAACTCTTGACTGGGTTCATCCGGAAACGGAACGCCCAGGGTGAAGACATCGAAACCCCGAACCTTACCCCAAGAACCTCGAATCCTACCTCCCGAAAGCGCATTTATGCCCGCGGCGCCTGGCCCTCCTTCCGGGCGAGGGCTGGCCGCCGGCACGTGGGGCAGCGCGTGGCCTGCTTCGGGCTTTGCCGGCTCAATTCAGGGGACCCTGCACCACAGCTTGCAAAAAAAGATGCAGAGCCCAAAGGCGCTCCTTTGAAAGATATTCCCGACTCGAGCCCTGTGCAGATGTTGAGGATCCAAGGGTGAAGGCCACACTTGCCCGGCGCTTTTATCTGGTCTGAGCATGTCGATTTGAACTACGGCAGATGCAGTGGATTGGCCCGTGAGCCCCCCGCCGGCCCCAACCCAAGACCTCAAACCGGAATGCTTACGGGAGGGCCTCGCGCATAGTGCGCGCCCAGTGCTCCAGACAGGCTGCGTGGAAGACGTGGGAGCACTTCGGCAACGGCCTGCTCAGGGCTTTGAGTTGGCGCCTCATCGAGGGGCTCAAGACTGTGAATTGTGAATCGCGTGCATGAGGCTCCCGCAAAAATGCAACTGCCTAAATCCTGGACGACGACGATCTCAAACCCAAAAGCCTTCAACTTGTCGGTCTAACGTGCCTCACCCGGTCGCCAGGGCGGATCTCGTCCTGGAATCCGTCGGGGTCTTCGGACTTCTGAGGCGTTGCGATGTTGATGCTTGGGTTGAGGAGTTTGTAGGACATACGGGCTTAGGGGCTGTGGGTTGAAGATCTACAGCACAAAATGGTGGATTGGCAGCGCAGTGTTGGGGCTAAAGCCTCGCCAGCACCCGGGCTGCGTAGCCGTTGCTTACAAAGCTGTCACCCCAACCTCGACCTCGACACCTCCTGCGCTTTGGAGCTGCTCTTCCCATCCCAGACGACCCACTCCGCCCCCAGGCCTGACACACCACACACACTCGCTCATCATACCTGAGGGCATAAGGTGGTAAGGGGAAGTCTACGGGACTTACTGCGTAAGGAGCTTGTGCAGCTGCTCTCACATCCGAGCCTTCATCGTTGCCGCCTTCTGCGCGCTTACCCCCACCCCCCTCCCCCATGCAAAAAGCCTGCTGTTGAAACGGAGGATCCGAAGTTCCGAAATTAGGGTACCTTATGGGGGTCCTTATTATAAGGGAATCCTACTATTTCGGGCCTGTATTGGAGGTCCCTTATTTTCGTAAACCCCCAAGTGAGGCTCTGAAGCGGAACAGAACCGAAGTGGCCGCATTGCTCGACGAGGCACGAGATTTCGAGCGGCGTGAGCGACGGTGCAGCTTCTGCACCTGCACCATGTCACTAGGGGATAGGATTAGGGGGACCCTTGCGGATATAGACCCTCTGAATAAGGGCCCTGTTTAAGAGAGCCAGATACCTATAGGAGTCACAAGCGATGATGGACTCTGGGCTTTGAGGGTGTATCGATAGCGGGCCTTATGCATCTTTTCTGTTCAGCTGGGATGCTTAAGCGCGGCTCGCCGGCCAGCTCCGGGCAAGAGCCTGAATGGAAGGGGCTGCCTCCCAGAACCCGACTTGACAAACTCCAACCCCAAAACCTGAAACTCCAAGAGCATGGGCAGGCCATTCAGACCAGCCTGCCGGTGGGCCTGCTCCTTCAGGCCTGCAGGATTGCCAACTTTGTTCTCTCAAGAGCGAGAAAACGTTGTTACCGGGGTGGCTTTGAGTGAGTCTGGCTTCCGGACTTGAGTGAATTTGAGGCTCAGTATTCGGATTCGAGAGAATTAAGCCACCAATTGGGAGGGAGCCAGAGACTGCGCTCGAAGGATACGAGGCAAAAGCCGAAAGAAGAGCCGTTGACGCAAATAGCCCTGCAAGCATCGAGGCATCCAAAGCACGTATACCTTGTCGAGGAGAGCTAGGGCGAAACTTTGGCGGATGCCAAACCTCAACTTCCTCCCTGAAACCTTGCGCTGCCTTATGCTCCCTTAACATACCCCCAACAAGTAAAATCTCAACCCCAACCCCGCAACGCGCACCCCTCAGCGCCGGGCGCGGTTGGCCCCGAAGGGGTCGCGCCTCCATTTCGGGAGAGGCGTCGGCACGATTCGGACATGAAGAGGTGCTTCGGCATGGGGGAGATGTTTCAGTTATTAAGGTCAGGGTTGGGTGGTTTGGGACAGCTTGGAAGTAGTACTACAGGTGGAGAGCGGACAGCAGGGATTCAGGGGCTGCGATCACGGGTATAGCTCACGCAAGGCCACTGCATCCTCCAGCTCCCCCAAATCAGCCCCCTGAAAAGGCCCTTAAAGCCTAAGCCCTAAACCCGAAGGAAACCCCAAACCCTAAGGTCCAAAGCCTCCAACTTGGGCCTCGCGCCTCCGCCCTCCTCGTCGCCCGGCGCAACTTGCGGGGTCGGCGCCGTTGCCGCCGTTGCCGCCGCTGCCGTGGCTGCCGTGGCCGGCGGCTGGGCCTTGGCGACGGGTGGGCTTTTGACAAATCGGTTTAACGGCTTCACGGTTCTGAGGTCTAAGGATGTCACGTCCAAGAGCTTTGTTTAGTTGCAAAATGGTGGGCTTCGAGAACTTTGGGCACGGACTTTGGGACTAAGGGCCTGGGAAAATTCCCGATGTGGGGCTTGGGGCTTGGGGCTTGGGGCTTGGGAAGGTTTTCTGGGTGCACTGTTTACACGGAAGGCTGACGTCCTCCCGTAAGGTTGCGGCCAGTCGCACGCCGCAGAGGAATTGCCTGCAGGAGGCGCAGGCTGCATTGAGCAGCATGCCCCACCCCATGCCGGCCGCACATAAACCCAGTGTCTCCACAGCCAGCCCACAAGTGAGATCCCCCCATGAAAAGCAATCGGAATCATCTGGACAAACTGCCCCAAAGAAGTCCGAATCTTGCTCCTTGACCTCGCCTCCGGGAGTTCTGGGTCTGGTTGCCCAGGCTAAAGCCCAGGAGGACGACGAGGGCCTGGCTAGGGCTTCGAGTTTTGGGAGCTTTGGGAGGTTTGCCAAGGGTGGCGCTCAAGTTTCCAGGGATTTTGGGAGCCTCGGCTTTAGGGTGGGGGTAAGTTCTGAAAAGGTCTGTTGTAAGTACGGCGCCTGATACGTAGGGCACCCAAAAAAGAAAGGAACCTAATTTCAAGATCTGGTCAGGTGGTTTGGAAGGGTTTGGCGTTTGTGGCTTGGCAGGGGTTGAGGCGGTCTTAAAGCGGAGAAAAGCCATCTGATTTAAGGGTTTGGGGATGTTTGGGGCCTCGTTCTGTGCTCCCAAGTTCAGAACTTAGGGCTTAGGGCTTAGGGCTTAGGGCTTTGGGCTTTGGGCTTAGGGCTTAGGGCTTAGGGCTTTGGGCTTTGGGCTTTGGGTGTTGGGTTTTGGGTTTTGGGTTCTTTTTTTGGGAAGGGAGGTTCTCTTCCACCCACTCAATTCAGGCCCCCGGGCCTCGTGGAAGGTTTCCGGGAGGCTGCCGGGCCTTGGCGCCATCACGGTAGGGAAGCCGCAAGTGGCTCAAGAAACTCCACCTCTCCACCACATGCCTTAAACCCTAAACCCTAAAACCTAAACTCTGAAGCTTGAGTCCAGGGCCCTTGTTCGTTGTCGCTGTCCGACGACACGCTCTCCCTCAGCCATGCCGTTCCGATCACCGAGAGGCTTTAAGTTTACGCAGAGTCCACATGGGAAGAAATTAGAAGCACAAGTTTGTCAGCGGAGAGGCTTGCATCAGAACTTGAGAATTTGAGGAGAATGAGATGCACGCACACTCGTTCCATGTATGCGGACGTCCAGAAACTTACAACCATCAATGCATCTCAACAGGAGACCGGCCAGGGTTTTGAGGGCCAGAATCCCGAGGTCAGAATCCTGAGGTCCGGGGGCAACGCCTGAAGCCCTGTTAACTCTACAAGCCTGGAAGTAAGAACTCAATGAGCCAAGTGGCCCTTGGTTAATGGAGGAGCCGAGGTCTGCCCCGATGTTCCTTCGAGCAGCGGAAGAGCTTCGCTCTCGGCTTGGAGGGCCCAAGGAGTTGAAGGCTTTCTTTAGGGGTTTAGGGTTTAGGGTTGTTTAGGGTTTAGGGTTCGGGGTTTAAGGTTAGGGGTTAGGGTTTAGGGTTTAGGGTTTAGGGTTTAGGGTTTAGGGTTTAGGGTTTAGGGTTTAGATTCGGCTCTGATATGGGCGGCTATTCATGAGCTGCTTCTTTGCGGCCTTTCTGTGGCTCTTCGTCCTGACTGACATTGTCAGGCCTTATGCATCGATTATTCCTTGCCGGTAGCTTGGGGAAGCTCCACGGAGACCCTAACCTGGCAACCCAGATGCCTCGCCCTTCGCTGTGCCAGGGCCCTCTGCCACCGGGAGCGGAGGTGGAGCCTGCCATCGCCAACGAAGTTCTGGTTGGGAAGGGAAGTGCCTAAAGCTCTTAAACCTATACATCCTAAACATTCCTAAACTGCAAACTGTTGACACTAGAACCTGACATAAAGGGATTGCCGACGACAAGTTCGGACTCTGAAATATGCCTTCGCGTGCAGAATGCAATGGAGCGGGGCATGGAACTGAGAACTCTTGGGGTTCGGGAAGTTCGGCACGGCCGAAGATGCAACCGCAACTCAAAAAACGCGCCTGCGGCTGCAACCAGCGAACCCCGCCATCTAATGCTCAAAAGGTGATGTCATGAGCCAAAACTCGCCAACCTGAACCCCTCCTTTGCCAGCGCAAACCCTTCGGGACAGGAAGTAGGGGTCTATACTCCTTATATCCCCAATAGGACACCAATTGTATACACTATACACTCACCAATATCAAACAGGAACCTTATATACACCCACCGAAACACAGTAATATAAACCCTGCTTCACATGTGGGTGCAAGATTGGCCTCAGCAGGATGCTCCGGAGCAGGACTACGCCTCCCAACATCGCATGCTTCAGGAGCGGGGGCTGCGGAATTTAGGATCCCAAAACAGTGACTGGGAAATACTGGGAACATGCCCTGTTAAGGATGAGCCATCGTGTAAACATACTGATCGCTCGATGGACAGCTTAAAGAATTTGGGTGGTTCACTGACCGCATGATGTATGTTGAATGGATTGATGTGGCCAAACTCCGTGCTGACCGTACGATGACAGTTCATAGGGTATTCTTTCGGCAGCAAGGTCAATACAAAAGCACGGATGGGCACAAACAGAGACGCGTTTAAGATACAAAGTCTTGCTGCGGTCTAAGTCTACAATCTGAAGCCCTGTAAGGCGCCCTGAGCCAGCTGAGTCACTGAGAACCTCAAATGTACACTCACCCAGGAACTTTGTAGAAAGTGCGATTCGGGGGTGGATGAGGCCTGAGATGAGCAGAAGGTACAGCAGCACGCTGTCCTGCGTCGCGCAGGTCGTTCAGAGCTTGGGCGTAGGGCTTTCTGGCTTAGGGGGCGCACTCTGCTGGGCCGTGTTATGGAGACACTCTTCTCAATCCTTTCCCTGACCCGGAACTGTGCGGCTGGTAAGGGAGATGAACTTGGTCATAAGCTTGCAAAGGAAGGATGCGGATCCCTTCCTCCCACCCCGCCCGCCCACAAGAACAGATTGCCTTAAAGTCGTCGGTGACCAGCTCCATCACATGCCTGGGCTCGGCTACTTGTGCGTGCAACGCAACTTGGGGCAGTTGCTGACTCGCTTCAGGTTCAGATTGGCTCCAGTCTCAGCAGGTAAGAAGGCATTTCCGACCTTTCCTGGAGCTGTGGTTCGGGTTCCTGCCGAGACGCAGAGTGCCAATCCAGTCGGCAGAGAGGAGCACGGCCAGGACCAGAGCCTGACAAGGGTTGTTTCAGCGTCGGCTTGGGAGGGGAGGGGGGTCAGATGGATACGCTTACTGCCCATCCGCCCTTTAACTGACTGCCACCGGACTCCCGCCGGACATCCGCCGGACATCCGCCGGACTCCCGCCTGAGGCAGCTTCTGGCTGGCCAAACACGCGCACATCGCGCAGAACTTGATGCTGATGAGGATGATTCCTGCCGCTCAGTCTAGAGCCTGAACCCTTCTTGTGGCACAATGCAGTCCGAAGAATGCTTAGGCTAAGACTCAATTTGTTTTGCAACTCCCTGTAAACACTTTAGACTTGGGATTAAAAACGCACAACTCTGGCTACAGATTCCAATCGAACTGAACTTGCCATGGCCTCCACAGACAAAGAGCCCGACCACACCGCTCGACGGCATCATCGAGATCTTTGGCACGCACAGATCCATCTGGGGTCACACGGGAGGTCGGACGTCGAGGTCTTCGGGCAGCGATTTAGAGCAAGCGCTCAGGGTTTCAACGTTTGGTTCTTCGATGCTCTTCGCTTCATTCCCCATGGGCTCCGCTTCGAACACCTCGACCAAACCACCTTCATATCCCTCATCATTCTGGGTTGACCGATGCGTACTCCTCAAGGTTTGAAGTAAGGCCCCTGCGTGGTTGTTCCACACATGGGACTGGATCTTCTACAGCGCGGGGTGAGCAAAGGCTGTTGGGGAGGTCACATATCAAGTCCGCAAGAACTTCTTCAAGCAGCTACCCAGTACGATAGCTGTGCTGCTTTGATTTGAAAGTACCCATGACACGCAGACTGTTGGCACATCACCCTGGAGCCGGCTTCAACCCTAAACCCTAAACCCTAAACCCTAAACCCTAAACCCTAAACCCTAAACCCTAAACCCTAAACCCTAAGCCCTAAGCCCTAAGCCCGGAGCCCTCTGAAGCCCCGAGCCATGAAAAGCATGAAATCTGTAAAAGCCCTCTGCCTGCAGCGACAGCAGGACCATCGGCAAGCCGATGAAGATCAGCCGTGATAGAAGCCTGCATGCTCGCGGAGAGATCTGGGGAGGCTCCGAGAATGGGGGGGGTACCCTTTTTGGGGCGTACCCCAAAGGGGACTGTATTCTATCTGGGGTATAAGAGGCTACCCCTGTTCTTGGGAGATGCCCAAATGTAAAGATTCAGGGTCCTCAATCTTGAGTTGACAGGCTTGGGGCCGCAAGCTTTTGGCGCCGTGCGCGTGCCCTGCGCTATGTTTGGGAGGGTGACCCGGGGGCGTCCCTCCGTGTGATGGGGCTCCACAATAGCTCCAAGCGGGGTTCAGAGGTGGTTTAGGGCTTAGGGTTTCGGTTTAATACGGTTTAGGATTTAGGGTTTAGGTTTTAGGGTTTAGGGTTTATAGTTTAGGGAGTGGGCGTGGGTTCACGTGAGGCGAGGTACCAGAGATAGTGATGCTTGACTTCATGGTACTGACTAAGCAGTTCCAGGCAAGGTCAAGGCCAGAACCATCCAGAGCCTAAAACCCGACTGCAAACCCCAAAAGACCTTCAGGCGTACCCCACTGGTCTACAAACCCTGTGGAAGCACAGGCTGTTTCTGGAGTTTCAAGGAGGACTCGGGCATGGAGAATCAGAAGGAGCCCGGCCGCACGCCGCTGAGCTCAGGGCCAATGGAGCAGCAGTGACGGGGAGAAAGGGCACCCCTGGCCCAAGCTCGGGCGCTCAACCCAGAACCCGACCTTATCAAAAAAAAAACCAAGACCCTCAAGCTCTTCGAAGAGTCCTTCCTCTCTTGGGTTCTCTAGAGGTACTCGGGTTTCGAGATCCCGCGCGAGTTGAGCAAAGCTCAACTGCAAACTTACCAAACTCAGGCTACATCGGGCGCAGAGGTCCAGGCTTCAACTGGAACCCTTCGAGTCCAAGGCTTCGGTGACGTGTCTATTGGTGGTTTGGATGTTGCGTGGAGCCCACGGTTCACAATGCAGTTGTTTGTAAAGGTTGTGACCAGAAGAGTCCATCTTACGCCTTCGGGGAATTTGGGGAACCTGTGACAGCGACACAGCTCCATTTCTCCACGCACGTAGAACCAGAAGTTGACTCCACCGCCAGTTGAGCGGTGTTTCTGGTACTGTGGAGGTCCTAGGATTCCCTGACCCCAAACAAGGCACCCCCTAATTTAGGAAACCGCCATGTGCAACGTACATGAATGTATGGATGTCAAGTCCTGCGGAGAGCTGTGATGTCGGCCAGCGAAAGGCATGGCCAAGAACATCCCATGGTTCGGTAGGAGCTTCTCCACTGAAAGAAAGTGCCCTCGAACTCTTACAACTTGCGGCTTATGGGGCCTGCGGGGGGGGGGGGGGGGGGGGGTCTTGAGTTCCGTGGTGATGTCTCTTCCGGCCCGGATGAGAGAACCTCCATCTCTTCACTTGAACATGAGTTCTTTGGGGCGAAGCCGGCCTGCAACAAAGATTTCGAGAGGCTTAAACAGCCAGAAGTGAAGTTTAGGGTTTAGGGTTTAGGGTTGAGGGGTTAGGGTTCAGGGTTTAGGGCTTAGGGCGAGCATGGCTTGCAGCATCCCGTGTCCTTGCAATCGCAAGACATATTCACGGCAGCTCGTGCCACACCTTGAAACACACTGCATCGGCTCAGCCCAACGTGCTCTTTGGATAGTCGGGGTAGAACTTCTTGAACT